GGAAGAACATAATTAGTTAATTGCATGGTAATTTGGTAGCATCTTCAGGGGAACTGATAATCCCCTTACCATCTTGGAAGACGGAGGTCCGATCAAGCTTGATCATGACTTGATCAGCGTCCTCATCCTTTTTAACGTAGCTCATGGTGAATGAAGCTGCTGATCCAACAGCAGCGGAGAGTTCTGTTCTGATACCCTCTTCTTGTGTAGGTTACCGGTAAAGGTGACGCCGGGGTCAACAGTGGAATAAGGACGGGCGGGTAAGTATTATGGGTAAGTCAGTAGCAATTGGGTGTGCAGGCGGTGTAAACGATTAACGCGCCCTCATTATCCGCGAAAGGCGAGGTTAAAAAAGGGAAAAGCGAAAGACCAGGCCAGTAGGAGCAGTGTCCAATCTCAAGGCAAGGCTACTGACCCTGTTCCAGGGGAGAATCGAGCATGAATGGTGAGGTTGTTGCCAAAGCAGCTCCCGATGCCGTTGTACAATCTCCAGGTGGCCTTCCGCGTCTGTGGGTGCTCTAGCCACTGTGGCTGATGCTGCAAACAGAGCAAACACGCGGCATGCATCATAGGTAGCATCGTCCCAATTACTCGGGAGCCTCAACAAACAATTGCATGGGAAGCTATCGTCTATCTAAACTTGCGATTCCTATTTGTCACGACAGATCAAATTACTTCTTCTCATCATGGAAGTCCAAGTAGACCCCAACGAGGATACTGAATGGTAAGGAAATCAATCTCCGCAATTCCCTCACCAAATTCTTGATAATCACTCACCCCGCCATAGGAATGACATTCTCCGCAAGCATGGCGTTATCCCCGAAAAGCCCCAGGACCCCGAACCATTGATCCAAGAGGCCCTCATAGAGGCCGAACGAAAGGCATACGAGAATAGACTCGAAGACAAAGACCTAGATGAGCTGCATGATCTTGAAGATGAAGAAGACGATGAATTCCTCGAACAATACCGGTACGGCGTCGACCATGAGAACCCCGGTATCCCAGCTGCGGGCTTTGGAGCTTTCAGATACTGACCAGAAATCCAGCCAAAAGCGCCTCGCCGAACTCTCTACCCTCCAAAAAACTAGCATCTACAACCAAGTCTACCCCTTACAAAAAGTCGACTACGCCCGCGAGGTAACAGAAGCCTCCAGCAAATCCTTCGTGCTCGTCCACCTCACATCCACCAGCGGGAACGCCGAGTCGCGCATCCTGTCCGACCTGTGGCGTCAACTAGCTATGAAATTCGGTGACATTAAATTCTGCGAGATCCGCGGCGATATGTGCATTGAAGGGTATCCGGAGCGGAATACGCCGACCATTTTGGTATACAAGGACGGAGAGATTAGAAGGCAGCTTGTCACATTACGGGAGCTCAATGGACCCAAGACTAAGCTTGAAGGTGCGTTTGTTGATGGTTTCGTTGTATAGACGTTGGCTGACGCCGTCTCGCAGACCTAGAGCGAATGCTAGTGGATCTGGGTGCTTTGAAAGAAAGCGATGTCCGCCTAAAGAAGCGATCTCACTCGTTCGACGAGGAGCGTCCATCAAATATCAGGAATGCGAACGTCGAAGATTACGACGATGATTGGGACTAAGAGAACAATGACTGCGAGTTATATTCTAGTACAAGGTTGCTATTGTTATGCTGATTATACGATAACCGTTCGTCGATCCTTTTTACACTCATACGGTGGTGCATACGTTAAATATGGGACATACCCGAAAATGATACGGGTCAACTGGGGTTGTTGATCAACTCACCTGCATTTAAAGATTGAGATCCTAAGTTCAAGTCAAAGGATAGGTKGCTGGGGAAAGCGCAGTTGTCCTTCATGAATACAAGCTTGAATATATCAAATTGTGAACTATTCAGCCGTCCAATAGTGTAACCGCAACGTCAAACGCTAGCATTTTCGGCAATCATTGTTTCGTGTCCAATTACCAGCACCCATGTGTGTATTAATGAAAATACATGAGAAAGATCAAATTGATAAACGTATACCGATCCCAGACGCGATTCCTGCGCCAAATAACACCCTTCGACATAGCGCCGTATCCTCCCATAATCAGCTTCCAAACGCACCAAAATACATTTTCAAAATCATAACTTGGCCCAAATTCGCCTATGCCAAGGTCATATCAATTCATCGCGGCCAGCCGCAGCGCTCGCCTCAATGACCCGGAGCACCTGGCCTTCCCTGAACGCCGGACCCTGTCCATTACACTGAGCCATTCCCTTCAACCGATTAGAGACATCACCGATATCCACAAGACCCTGCTTGTAAAGTTCATGCCCCTGAATAAGATCCCAGGTCGCTCCGGCATCGAGGAGCCTCTCCCCTGTCTCTTCGCAGATCGTCACGCGATGCGTAGGCGCCGGCTCCCCCTTCGGTACAAGATTTGTGTAAAAGTCAGTAGGGGTGTACTTCATCGGTCCTGTGACGGTTGGCTCCGAGTCCAGATGACGGCCTTGCGAACTCGCCAGTTGGCCCGTGGTAGCCCGTAAAATCTCATTCTCCGTTGCGTACTTGGCCAGTTCCCGCTTCAGCCGTTCGTTGTCCGCGGCTAGGGTGGTGGATTCTTGCTCGAGCGTGCTGACTTTCTCTTCCAGTTCGCGGACATGGCGCTCCTTTCGTTCTCGGAACGCTCGCTGACTGGACGCACCAATCCGGTGATATGTTAGCCGCACTTATTCCACAGCATACTTCCAGCGCGGGCGTGTATGCAGCCCTAACACTTTCACAAGAACGAAAGGATCACATACGCAGCTCGGTTCTGTGCCTTGCGCTTACTTTGTGCTGGAGTCAGATTGTCCTTTTCCTCGCTGCTGCTTCGATGTTGGAGCTGGTCATCGCCTTCGATGGATCCAGGCTCCGCATGGCTATTGGGGAAATCACTGCTCGAAACCGAGTGTTTGGAGAAGGATTCAGGTGGCGAGTGCGGTGGAGGGACAAAGGACGAAGGGCCGGCGGGGTTCTGGATGCGAAAGGAGGGGTCGAATGAATGATAATTCTAGGATGGGACAGGGTTAGTATCAGATCAGCATAATCAGCAACGTAGGGAAACAACTAGAGAAGTAAATGGATCATTGAGATCATCGCCATTAGAGGCTGGGTTGCTCTGATCGGGTGTTGGTAGTCCGTGGAGATCGTAGACGGGGAATGGCTGCTGTGACTGAGGATTGGAATAAAATGAGTAGTCCATATCTCTGCACTTCTCTCAACCAAGCACGACTTCTTGCAGTAGATGATCGGCTGAAGAGAGAGAAGGTAAAAATACAATATTGATAAATTTGCTGAGATGCTTCCTCTTATCGATGGGGTACAGCGGTCAGGATGGTACGGAGACAGATTTAATGGGGCCAAGCCTTGGAATTGCTTTTGGTCGGAGAACCCAAGAAGCTAAGAGTAGAGGAACAACTTAGAATAACATGGATGCAAAGCAACCGAAATTTCGCCGCTCCGGATATTGTCACAAGTCTTAAGAAGCATGGCATGAGTCTGCGTAATCACAATGATGAAGATGTAAGATGTAGATATTGAAAGCACTTTGGGACAACGCGGGTTGGGTTCAGGCCAGACAGCGACCCAGAACCAGGGACATCATGGCAGCTTCATTTGTCGATGTCAACTAAGGGAATTGCCCCTGATAATCCGACCGAATGGAGCACAAGAATTCTCAGGTAGCTTATCGATGTCACCACTCCATGACAGAGTAAGTTCTTTGCTACGTCAAGCCTACCTATGACTTCCGCATTTGCTCCTCAAGCCAAAAGGAGCTATAGACAATTACGACAGTGCCAGCCCAGTGATACTGCAGAGACGAAGGAAATTGATTCACAACAAAAGACTGAAATATTATCTGAGTGAACGAAGAGACAGTTTGAGAGACCCTAGCCGATAGCTTTCGAGTTCGCTCGCGATGGGTCCTCACAGGTTGCCTCCTCGACACAATGCGAGAGAGCGTGGAAGAACAAATCAAAGCCATAATATGCCGTTAAAGTGAACACAAATCGACGTGATACCACCCCGGAAGCGACCCTAGCCATTTTCCGTCGCCAATTACCCAAAAGCAGAGACGCATTTCTCTCGTGCCTGACCCACTGCCAGTCGTCCCATAATCCTCATAACCGAACAGTCGTGAGATAAGTTTGTTGAAAAGGACAACAGCAGGGGCGTCAAAAGTAGACACCCAGAAACTGCCGTCTCCACCACATCATCGCAGGTCGTTTGTTCTGTCATCGTCCCCTGTTGACACGTCGATAACTCACAAGCAAAACGATGGAAAGTACATGAAAGCATGCAGAACATAAGAAGACGATGGGAAGTGCAAGAGCAAGATGGGGTTGGAAAAGTATTGAAACACGACAGTAGATGATCAATCTGAGGATCCCCAGTGACATTTGTCAACATTCCGATAAAGCTGTTTCGTCACAATACTGATGATCCCGTTTATGCATCTCTTATCACCCGACCCACCCGGCAAATTGCTGGGACTGAAAATCTCGATTCAAATATGAATTCGAGTGACTGGACCAAGGTGGGTAAACGGGTAAAATATAGCCGCAGTAAAAAGCATTTCGAGGCCGCTATCGATTTCCCTTCAAATAAAAATAGTTCGCGTATCGAGTACAGAAGTCGTGAAAATGGTGGGGCTGTCGAGCGTTGAAAGAAAAGCTCCACCTAGTGAAACACACGAAAGGCTGATAAGCGAACTGGCGAAGTTGAGAACGACGAGCGGTCCGTCGAAGCGTTGTAGATCGAAAGACGATCGGGACTGGATGAAGGGCTGATAGAGTGCATGGGAACAACAAAAGGAAAAAAAAGGAATGGAGATCCAAGGCAAAAGAAGTCCGAGAAGATTGCTGCACGATGCAGATAGGTACCGTGATGACAGGAGGTCCCGGGCTTCAAAGTTGGCGTAAGTTGTTGGCATGCAGGAAGCTGAAATACAATCAAAAGAGGAGTAAAATCAAGCTACGCTGCCATGCTGCACAATTAGTACCACTGAGCACCGTATCCATCGTCCCGCTTCGCACGGCTACCGGCAGGCCCATAAGCACCTGAAGCAGCAACCTTGGAAGCAGAGCGCAGCCTAATGCCGAAGACTATGAGATTAGTCAGATTCTAGTAACTGGAATAGACCTCCACGCGCAGAGCGGATCTCGAACACCAAACGCAGAGGAAAGGGGTTCCCTACACGGAACCTAGGTTTCAGATACTCACATCCTGTCACTCCCTCCCATAGCACGGTTGGTGTCAGGGGTGTTGTTGAGCGTGTTGTGATCGAGGACCTTGCGACGCTGGCTGGAGATAGCACCAGGCTTGGCAGCAGTAGCAGGGGTAGCCATAGGCGCCTGAGCTGCAGCTGCATTTTGGCGGCCGTCAGCCTCCTTGTCCTTCTTGTTATTGGTAGCGTCCGCAATCATGGCAGCGTTCTTCTGGTACTTGTAGACGGTCCAGTCAAACACGTAATCGTACTGGTAGGACTCGCGGACGAACAGGTCGCGGAAGATCTTGCGGAGGTAGGAGTAGTCAGGCTTGTCATCAAAACGCAGGGAGCGAGTGTAGTTCAGGTAGATGGAGAACTCGTTGGGGAATCCACGGCAGAGGACCTCGGTCGGAGTGGTCATCTTCTTTTCCATGATACGGTCGTACTTTTGCTTCTTGGTGGCCGCCTTCAATCCCTGCCAAGGGAGAGTGCCACGGCAGAAGTAGAGCATGACGTACCCGAGAGACTCCATATCATCACGACGAGACTGTTCAACACCGAGGTGAGTGTTAATACTAGCATAACGGGCCGTTCCGGTGAGGTTCTTGTTCTCGCGGTATGGGATGTGGAAGTGCGTCTTGGGATCACGGTACTTCTTGGCAAGACCAAAATCAATCACATTGACTTGGTTTCCACGCTTGCCGATACCCATCAGGAAGTTGTCGGGCTTGATATCACGATGGATGAAGGACTTGGCGTGGATGTACTCGATTCGGGAAATGAGTTGATCTGCCAGGAGAAGCACAGTCTTCAGGGAGAATTTGCGGTTGCAGAAGTTGAAAAGGTCCTCCAAACTGGGACCCAAGAGGTCGATGACCATGGCGTTGTAGTCACATTCGGTACCGAACCAGCGGACAAAAGGGATTCCAACACCACCAGCGAGCGATTTGTAAACCCGAGCTTCATACTCGAGCTGTGGGTGCTTGGCCTTGACACTCTCGAGCTTGATGGCAATTTCCTCCCCAGAGATGATGTTGGTACCTGTATCATTTTGTAAGCGGTTGCTCACCAGCCGACTTCCTCAAAAAGTATCAATGCCATACCGAGATAGATGTCACCAAAACTACCGCTTCCGATCTTACGGCCGATGCGGTATTTATTACCGACTCGCAAATCCTGTTTGGTGACCATATTAATACAATGTACAAGGGTCCATGGATGCATCGATGTAAATACTAACCATGGTCGTCATCTTGACTGTCGATTGTTAGGCACAGCTGAAAGCTGTGGCTGGAGATGATGTCAAAGACTGTAGGAAAAAATTGTAAGTTCTCGGTCAAACAATGGACGACGTTGACGCAATGTGAACAAATTCTAGGAAGGCGAGTCCAAGAAAGGGGTCCAACAATGCAAAAGGCCAATGCTGTGAAGAACAAGAGAAGGGCTTGAGAGTGGTAGGATGGGTGAAAAAGTGCAAGCTCCAGCCTCCGGCGCGTAGTTGCTTGGCAAAGTGAGTGAATTGGCGATGAGGCTGCGGGAAGCTGCTGACGGAAGGAGACGCCTCAACGACGACTCAACACGAGAAGGAAGTCCACCAGATACAGGTAGGAGTTCGAAAGAAGTGAGAGTATAATGTTGAAAAAAATGTATTCCTTGTTGTTTTGTTGCAGATAGAACGGGTGTGGTGATGAGGGCGATTGATTCCGACTGTAGAGGCCCGACCGAAGAAAAGGCGGAGGGGAGAAGAGAGGGAAAAAGGAGACCGAGAGGCCAACTCACCTTAATAATGGGACACGTCGAAAATGCAGAGATGAGACGCGTAGGAATTAACAGACAGGAAAGAAGTACCTGCTGTTGAAAACAAGAAGGAAAAAAAGAAACAAAAACCAAGGGCAAAGCCTTGATATCGGAAGGTGGAATTGGGGGGGAGAAAGTGAAGAAGGGAAGAGGGAGGAGAATAAGAGAGGAGTTTGAGTGTCGGGTTTGGGCGTACTGAGAGGAGAGACTAAGCAGTAACTCCGTACAGAGCGTAGGTAACTAGGTACCTACCTAGGTAAGAGGGGGCCGGGTAATAATGGTAAGTAAAAGCGGTGATGAAGGTCTGTCTTGAGGTTAGGCAGAGCTCAGGGAAAAAAGAACTCAATTAGAGAGGCAAAGAGGAGGCAAAATCTGTCCAGAAAAGAAGCTAGGCAGGTATTGTATGTAAGAAGACAGTATGATGTATTACAGTCAGTATCATATAATGAGTCTAGATATGGTCTACCTTCACCTGATATCAAGCTACCTAATAATAACAACACAATTCGGCTATTTCGTTTCATCATGCTGCCAAGGGTCATCAAGCCATCAGTCATCAAACAAAGCAAGAACTAGAGCAAGGAAGGTTCGCCAGGCGTGATACGCGGCCATGCAAGGAAGAATCGAAATGGTAGGCGATCAACATCCGACGATAGCCAAGTACAGCGGTCAGCCCCCAACCTGATATGACTAGCCTTTTTTAGTTCTGTTCTACCGATATCAACGTCGAAAGGCATTTATTTGACTTAAAGTTGTCCTACATCTACGGACAAGTATCACATCGCAAAGAAGAAAAACCGATCGCTCTCCATCCATTTCCTCTTGCATCGAGATAGAGTGAGTACCATCAATGAGTGGCAACTAACTTTGGCATCAGGCGGCGAAACAGCAGAGAGGCACAAAGGCTGTGCCTTTTGCATCATTTCATCATCTCACCTCATAGCCACACTCATACCAGGATCAAACAGCTTATAGGCAGATAGTAATCTGGAAAATTCCAGCATTTCACTCCTCATCCTATCTACCCGGTCGACCACCCCAGGACTCTCCAACAGTATCGTATGCCGTTGCCTGCTCAGATGACCTCGTCTACCTTGGATAAGTACCTTTCCCATGGAAGGTGAAACCGGGCGTGTATCTGTATCGTAATTACCAATACTATACCTAAGGTACCCTTCAGCAGATCGACCCTTATAAAGCAACGGACATCTATTTGGGCAGAAACAGCTTCATATCAGCCAGGTCATGTGTTTGGCTGTCAGTGTTCTTGTACCTTACTCCATACCATGTACATATCAAGGAGAATCCATACACCAGCCTGCACAGATCATGACTTCTGTACAAGGCTCGATTGGATGGTCAATCGCCGCAATCTCATGAATCAAGATTCGATGTCCAAAGCTGCATATAGAGACCCTCCGCCTTGTTTACTGCCCTCCTCTCACCGCAATGTTACCGCGGCGCCACAGCAAGATGATCATCACCCACTCATCAGAAATTTCCCGTAGAGATTTTGGTCGCTATGAATTTGGCCAAAGCATGCATCTAGAACTGACTTACTCTATTGCTTATGGTAACCAACTGGTTTCGAGCCGGAAGATGACACCATACACGCAGCCAGATCAACCAACGCACCATGAGATTGCCCTGACAGGCCGTAAGACACCTGGTTTTACTCAAATGGTTGTTCAGAGAAATCTGTGTTTCATTGCGGATGATTCTTATGTTAAATATCTCCTTATCCTCTATGCCAGCGAACACTTTGAACTCGTAACGAGCCGGGATACGAGTTTGCTGGCACCAGTCCTTGCGAAGCAAGCAAGCTGGACGCCAGCTTGCTGATCTATGATTAGGCGCAAATGCAGTCAACTACATCCGACTGAGCGAACTCAAGCTTTCAAGAGCAACCAGCTTTCATTGAGAAAGTTACATCTGACCAGGATCAGGCAGAGGCTCCTTGATGCAAAGTAACTAGTAGTACATTCGGGATCAGGTAGCGAGATATTGAAGGGGTATAAAAGAGGACTCAACAGAAAACCGAGTAGAAGAGAAAAAAAGGAAGGAAAGATAGTATAGTGCCAAAATAAGAAGTAAAAGGAAATTACTCTCGAACATGAAGCCGTTTTCGAATCCTTTTTCCACCAAAGCAGAATTTGGATTGAATTCGCTAGGAACAGAGAGCATAGGGGAATTTGACATCGCAAACATGCCTAGGAGATAAACAACATGAGATAACACAGGATAGAGACAATTTCCAGGGGTGACGATATGGTGATCGCACGGTTTCGGACTGGATGAGAGGCCGTGGCATTCCTAATTTCATGGCAACGTCAGGAATTGGAGAGTCGCATCGTATAATGTTGGACCGGTCTAGATCATGTTCGCTGCCGTTTGTTCCTCGGCTGCGCGTGGCTTATTCTTCTCTGGGGAGCTTGCTCTTGCTTCCTCCTCGTCCAGTTTCCGCCGCCACTCGGCCAGACTGTCACTCAAGCCATGGGTCTCCTTGGTTGGAGTTCGGTCAAAGTCTGATTGAGTGCTCAATCGGTAGTTGCGATTGGTACTCTCCCAATGACTGCGCAATGCCTCCAGCTCATTGGCAAGAGAGTCCAAAGCCATGGATCCACGATTGTCAGGGAACGGCTCATCTTGCGACACGGCGCTGTCTGCCCTTGGCCGACCACTGACACCACTGATCGTGTTGCTTGATGCATTACTGTGGGTTCGCGAGATACCGTTCATCCCCTGAACAGGCTGCGACTGTCGTCGGTAATGCCCGACGGAGGCTTCAACTTGATCCAGAAGCATGGCGACCTTCTGGTCGGCGTCTGATGCGCGAGCCTCGAGCAGGGCGTTCTCTTGCTTTAGCTGCTCCAGTTCCACCCGATTCTTCTCTGCTGCAGCAATGAGCTCCTGTTTGACGCTCTCATATTCTGACCGAGATTTGTCTTTTTCAGCCTCGGCGGCAGACAAGTTCTCCTTCAGTTTCGCAATCTGACTCTCGAGGTTGGCAATGGAAGATGCAGTATCTTGCTGCAAGTCAGAGATGGACTGCTGCAGCTTCGAGCGTTCAGCTTCCCATTCCGCTGGTGCTTCTGAGCCCTGGCCGGATGCCTGACTTATGCTTCTTTGCGCCGCTTCGAGGTCGGCCTGAATCTTTGCATTTTGCGCTTTATACCGGGTCAGCTCATCCTTCATCCGCTTGAGCATCTTTTCGGTCCCCTTGACATAGTGAACAGCTGACTGATAGTCGTTTTCGAGTTGCTCCAGCTTCTCTCTATACGCACGGTCTGCTTCCTGCTCCCGAGTTTCAAAGGATGCTTTGAGTTCTTCATGGGCCTTCAGGCTAGCCGATAGTTGCTGTTCCAGCTCACGAAGTCGACTTTGCTCGGGCGTACCGAATCGAGAGCCCGGGGATTCGAGCCTGGGAGAACGCCTGCTGTCAGTATAGCTGACTCCACGCTCTGCGAGAAGGTCCTTCAGCGTGGCGTGTTGGATGGCCAGGGCTCCAGCCTCTCGCTGCTGATTCTCCAGCTTTGACTTGAGCTCTCTGTTCTCAGCAGCATGGGCTTGGCTCTCCTTCATAACGGCCTGGAGCTGTCTGCGAAGTTGCAGGCCTTCTCGGCTAGCTTGCTCTTGGTAGGCCTCAAGCCCAGCGATTCTCTCTTCGGCTCGCCTCAGTTTGTCGGCTGCCTCATCAGCCGCAGCCTGGTTGGCCTTGGCCAGTTTGTTAGCCCTTTCAACCTGAGCTTCCAGAGCAGCTACTCGCTGGTCGGCCACTGAGCGGATAGACGTCTCGGAATCGAAGGAGGAGGCGCGTTCAAGGCCGGCCAAAAATGCGTTCTTGTGAGTCTCCGCTTCTCTGGCATTGCTTTCAGCCAACTCCTCTGCATCCCGCAGGCGCCGGGTGGCGTTCTCCAGCTCGGCAGTTCTTTCTTCGTGCTCCGATCTCAACTGCAGTAATTTTCTTTCAAGTCCTTCCCGCAGCTCCCGTTCTTCCTCCAGTTGCCTTTCGAGCAGGGCAGTCTTCTCCGAGGATGCAGTTACCGCTTCCCGAAGACTGCCGAGATTGTTACCAAAGTCCCTTAGACGAGATGATGAGTCTTCAAGCCTCTTAAGTAGTTCCTCCTTATCCAATGTGAGTTGTTTCAAAGAGGCTTCAGCTTCTGAGCGTAGTAAGGACTCCTCTCTTGCTGACGCCTCCACTCTGTGAAATTCGGCGCGCAAGCTCTCCACCTCCAGTGTATTGTTCTGCATCTCCAGCTCCGCCAGCCGCCTCCTCGTAGCTTCACATGTCTCTTCGGCCAGTTCCCTGCCGCGCTTCTCTTGATCCAGCTCTGTTGAGATTGCTTCCAGCTTGGATTTCAGTTCATTCTGAGATGCGAGGGCCAGAGCTAGCCGTCGGCCCATTTCGGTTGAACGATCGGCTATCGCTTCATCTGGATCCTGCGAGCTTCCGTCAGGCTGCGGAGTACCCCTTTGGCTTCCACCGTGAGCTGCGAGCTTGGCCCGCGAGTAAGCTGCTTCATTGACAGCCACATCTCGCTGATGTTCTACTTCGGCGACCCTCTTAGAGGCGATGGCAGCCTGTCGATCCACTGTCGCCTGCATTTTTGCAAGCTCTGCCCGCATTGCAAGGAAGGCCTCAATCAAGGGCCGATCCTCATCCGCAAACATATCTGCCGCACGCTCGTCCGCGATGGGATTGTTCGAAAAGTTTATCGTGTATCCAGCTTTCTTGGCCAGTGCAAGTTCTGACGCATACCACGCATTGCGATTCTTGGCTGCCTCCAGCTCCTTGATCAGAGCCTCCTGATGAGCAGTAAGCCGGGGAGAACGGGGCTCATCCCCAATGGACTTGGAATTCCTGTGACCTCGGGATTCGATCGATCCATCGATACTGGCATGCCGCCCCAGAACAGACTCGTCCGCACTATCCATGGATCCGCGCTGGCGATGCTGACGTAGAGAGCGCTGTCTGGCTAAAGGAGCAGCTTCCCCAGCCTCCATGGCTCTGGCAGACATTCTTGACGGCGTTTGAGTGGGAGTTCGATGTCCACTCGACATAGGCCCTGAGTCGTTAGCAGAGCGAGGGTCCTTGGAAGAATCTCTCGCCACCGGGGACTCCCTGTCTCTCTCGGATGCTATCGCGCGGACAGTGTCTGCTGCCGAACCGCCGTAGTTACGATCGGTTGGCGTTTTACTTCTGGGATTCATGGCGTGCTGTGGTGTGCTGCCTCGGGGACCGGGCGTTGGTGCCTGACCTGGCGGTGGAGGGCCGGCGGGTGCCTGCGCGATGGACGCTCTTGGTAACCGAGAGCCCGGGCCTGGGCCATGGTCGCCTGGTCGACCATTTGGGGTTATCATCATACTCTCCCTTGCTTGACCTGGTCCTCGCCGTTGCTGTGAGTCTGCAGGTTGTGGATTCTGCGCCTCTCGCGACGTTCGGCCAGTTGGCGCCCCGTGTCGGTCATTGCCTCCTTTTCTCATGGCCAGGGGAGGTGCAGCGACCTTTTCTCCGTTCTGGGTTTCGGTCGGGTAACGAATCTTGGAGGTGTCAAGAATATATGTCATACTGAGCTCCACTGGATCCCTGGGTGCAGAGCTTGGCTCACCGGCCAAGACGATGATTTGTTTGCCAAATGCTGTCATACTGTGGCCTGATCTCGGGGAAGGCGCTGGTCCCATATTTTGAAAAGAATACCATCGCCGAGTCGTGATGCGGAAAGCGGCTAAATCTCCCAGGTCGATGCCTTCATCCGTACGACCACCGAATATATACATGACATCGTTGACAAGAGCCGCAGCATGTCCTTCCCGAGGAGTGGGAATGAATCCGACACAGTCCAACTGAGACCAGAGATTCGCTCGCGGGTCGTAAGACCAGACATCGTTGAACCATTGCAGGCCGTTCGTACCACCAAACCTTTATGAGATATGAGCAACCCGATCAGATAATGATTAAAAGATAAGAGCTGAGATTCTTACAGGTAAAGCTTGTCATTGAAGCTGACCATCGTATGGTTGGTCCTCGCGGGAGGAATCTGACCAGGGGACGGTCCTCCCTCGTGACTGTTGCGAATCAGAAACTCCCATTTATTCGCAGGATTCTGAAGCTGATTGAGATCGAAGGCGACAAGATCGTTGAAAAAGTAACCTTCAACCTGACCCCCAAAAACGTAAAGCTTGGAACCAAGAATATTAATGGTGTGGCCATAACGTCCTGCTGGACGAGGGTTTGGGGGAATTGCCCGCGACCACTGTCGGGATGCTGAGGGAAATCAAAACGTCAGCAAGGTGAATGTGAGATGCAAGAGACCAAAAAAGGGTGAATACTCACAGGTGTTGAGAAGATATAGAGTGTCGTCCAAGGTGTCGGTTTCATCGACCTTCGTATCTCCTCCGAACACGATGAAAGCATTTCCGACTAGCAAACTTGCATGGCCGACTCTGGGACCGGGTCCCTCAGAAACAGTAGCAATGGGGAAGCACGACAAATTTCCGCCGCTGCTTTCAACCATCCAAAGGTCGCCCTTGACAGTAGATCCATCGATCAATCCACCCATCATGTAAATGTCACCTTCTTTCGAAGCGACCGCGTTGATTGCTGCACCATATCGGGGGAACGGGTTTCCTTGGGGTGTGGAGAAATTGAGTCGACGTTGCGACCAGGGGTAGAGCGAAGCACCGGGACTAGAATTAGGAGAGGTTGTGTTCATGGCTTGCGATGGTCGTTGTGCCTATAATGCCCGAGTCAGAATGTACATCATAGCGCTCCTTTGCTCCGCAACCACCAACCTGAGATTCGKATTCGGCTCTCGGCCGCGCCCTTTGCTGTTCAGGACTGCTCGTGCTATTGACTGAATTCAATGAATTATTGTAGCTACTGCTGGGTGTAGGTGTTTCGGAGTTTCCTCCGCTCTGCTCCTTCGCTCCATTAGGAGCACCCGGCGATGTGACTGCTGGAGCACCTTCTGAGGTATGTACATTCCTTGTCGCCGGTGGCAGGCCGGTAGCCTGGTGATTTTTCTTTGATTTGAACAAGAATGCCATCGTGGATATTCGATTCGTAACGGTCGTTCAGAGCGCAAGATCGTGTGGTGCGGAACACTTGGAACAAAAACCAAAGCTAGTGTAAACCGGTCCAATCACGACTCTCCACGAGCCTCAATGATAAGCTGCATAGAGCAAGAAATCGTAGCGAATGTCAGTGGAAAGGAGCAAGCGCCAGGCTGAAGGTTACCCGTACGAGCGAAGAGACCGATTGATCGATGGAGGGAGGCAATGCAACGTCCGGGTTCGAATATTGAAGCCAGCGATGAGAAGTCTAAAGAGGTTGTCAGAGTCTTGATGCAAGTGAGATCATAATTCGTTCTGGGGTTTGTAAATAATACCTTGGTGCAGTAGTGGCCGCAGAACCCCCTACTATCCCTAAAACAACCTCACACAAGCACAACTGCGACTCCGAGCGAGCATAGGAGATTATACGGAACCGAAAACAAAACGCAAACAGGGGAGGAAAGAAAATCGTATTAAAGAAAACAAAAAGAACGAAAAGGGAGAAAGAGGGAGAGTGAGGAAGATAGAGAGAAGGGAAAGCGAGAAAAAAAGAAATGAAAGGGAAGCGGAGAAGAAACGATGTCAAGAACTCAAGATGGCCAAATCGGTCAAGGTAAGGCGGTTTGGGGGTTCGTATGGGGTGGGATTGGAGAACCGCAGCAGCGACAGCAGACAAGTCTTTGGGCGGTTCCGGTGTTTCAAAGTTTCCTGAACAGCGTTAATTATTATTAGTGGTAATTCTTATTCTGCATTAAGGCTGGTAGATAACTGGCCTCGGTGGCTTATTATTATTATCGAGCGGTTGACGGAAGGGGGAAAATTGAGCCACGACGGGGCCACGAGGTTGGAATCGGTTTTCCACCACAGTAAAGATACTTAGACAGCCGATAGATAGTATCTAGATAGATAGCGGTGGCTCATGATATAGAGTAGCTACTTTCAAACTTGCTCGAGACCAGGCTGAGCTCCAGTTGCCTCAATTGAACACAAGATGGCAGCCATCAATGATGTCTTGAGCGGATTCATTCTCTTCCTCAATAACAGGAATAATCAGTGGTCGACAGCGAGCGTTTCTAAAATCTAGCCCGTCCAACGTCCTAATTAAACCAACCTCCCGTACAGCCATAGATGATGCTATGCTACTTGGTACCTTACAGCTTCAACCAAGAACAGCCTCAACACCATACAGAAATTATTGCTCTTGTGATGCATGTTTGCTTTGGGCCGACCACTGATCGTGCACCGAATAAAACCAGAAGGATCAAGGATAAACGATACCATTCCTTCCAAATGGACATGTGAGGGCCCGAGAGTCCTTGGCTATGTCGGAACGAAGATTAAGTGTGGCTCCTTCATTCCTGTGCTTGGGTTGTTACGGAAGTACAATACAACCTGAAGACAATAATCATGCGAATTGTCCATTTGGCGGATGCATCGCGATCGTGAGTCCATGTCGAATCCTTGCCTAAGATGCATCCTAATTTATGAGGAGCGACCTACCTTACTTTGCAATGTGTGCTCATGGCCGCAAAGATCTACTACGTATCATTATCATGACAACTAGGAATCAGGGAAGATCATACCCTCAGAGCAATTGGTGAGGACGATCTCACTAAAGTACCTAGGGTCGGATGGTCGACGGGATTCAGGGGAGTCTGCTCTCTTTGGCCTTTGCAAAAGAGGTGGAGAAGCAAATCAAGATGTGATGAACATCGTGATCATCTGTCTATGTATTTGCATCATTCCATGGCCCATGGACGGGGAGAAGGGGTTCACGAATTAATCTAATTGGGGGTTCCTGGATTCAAAATTCAGGTACCAACGGGAGGTTGGGAGGGGACTCGCAGGGTTGCTGGGCCTATCAGCGGCCGCATATTCTATTTAGTGGCCCCTGACAGAAGCCAAGTAGGTAGGAAGGGGATGATGGAGAACATATAAGCTAACAATGAGATGGAATTCCACTCTGTCTGCTTCGAGGATCGAGGGCTTTGGGCATCTTCTGCTCCTAATATTATAATTATTAGGTAGGTACCTAATACTCCGTAGAACCTGTCTACTATCTACCTGACAGGCGGACCGTTTTATGCTCTTGACTGTCAACACTAGTGGCGCCTTGTTTGTCATAGCCTTTGGTAATCGGTCTTGGTGCACGTGTCATCTATAATCCCTGGCACGACGGCACTGATACTCGAAAAAACATGAGGCACTTGCAAGAAGAGCAAGGTAGTCTCAGAAATACATATCCTGTATGGAAAGCTTCTTCTAAAGTGAGAGAGATCTTTGCGCTGGAGAGTCCCCGATTGATAGGGGCTCGTACAGGACGGAGTCAGATTATGGTCCTACAACACCAGAACATAGAACACTGTCGGACTGCACTCGAGGTCAAAACTTCTAAAATAAGAATCAAAAAGTAAAATGTTGATTTGCGGTTGTCCAAGTACACATTGCGGATAGTTCTTTCTTCCTGACTCAGCAATACCAGTTCCAAAACCCGAGTATGTGAGTTGCTGTGCATCTGTGATGTAATAATGCTAATGCTGGTACACTAGGAGGAAGATGGGGGCCGGATTAAGTAATGTTCCACTATCTCCCACGCCAAGACATCACCGCCGGAGCTCATGAACCTCGTCCACTCCCAACCACGGCGACAGACAGCTGCTTGTAACGCTGTGGGCCGGGATTGAGCTTGCTTGTTACAGAATTGTGGGCAAGCTTGCACTCATTTATCTTGTTGACTTGATTCCGGATATTCCAGGGAAACCGTCCCTTTGTCGAACGAGGACTTCCTGTTTGGACTGGCTCCTGGAGGAGGTATGATAATCATCTACGGAGTACAAGGTAGGAATTGAATTTCTGCTACCCGCCGGCCAGAAAGATCACTTTGGAGTCTGCGGACATTGTCACAACAGACATGGCACTTATATATGACAGGTGGCTGATTAAGCGCAATTTTGATATTCAGACCCTCCTTTCTTACGGTGACGCCATTCAGAAGATGATCACCTCTTACACACCATGAGGGATCCCACCATCAACATGGAGCAAGACATTGCAGCGAAACCGCAGGCGACCAGCCTTCAAGCTGAACCACGCAAGAATCAAAAGTCTGTCCGTGTCGCTTTCGGTCCGGATTTGGACACTTATATCCCTCCGCGCGACAAGTCGCCAGCGCCCTCCTCAGGCCACCACAGATCTTACACCACTGTTGAACATTCGCAACCATCTTTGTCGTTTCACCGACCAGCCAGTTCATCAGCAGGAGATAATTCGGCAGTCTTCGAGCCCAGTCCTCGGTTGACTTCAGATAGGGCTTCAGACTCGAGCGGAAGACCGACAGCAGCTCTAAAAAGGGCTCGAAGTGACTATGGGCCAAGACTGGGATTCGACAAGTCCGCGGTTGCCGATGAGGAAGAAGACTTCGCCATGCGACATGGATGGCAGGAGGAGTACACCTCGAGCGAGTATCTTAAGGTTCTACACTCGGTAAGCAGTCGGGGCGGCGCGACTTCACCAGGGTCATTGGGCCCGGATGATTGGCTGACTCTTTCAAGAACTTTTATATGTACTTCACGGAGAAGCGGCACGATACGAACGGCATCCCAAGAGACCCAGTTGGGAGCTGGCCCAGTCAGGATTGGCGTATGAAGGATCGCTTGAAGACAGTTTCGGCTGCCCTCGCCATCTGCTTGAACATCGGTGTCGACCCTCCTGACGTGGTGAAGACAAACCCATCAGCCAAGCTAGAATGCTGGGTGGATCCTACGTCGACCACGGGCGGTGGCCAGAACAAGATAATGGAGCAGATTGGAAAGAAGTTGCAAGAGCAGTACGAAACTCTCAGCTTAAGAACTAGGTACAAGCAGTATCTTGACCCTTCAGTTGATGAGACGAAAAAGTTCTGCATTTCCCTGCGTCGTAACGCTAAGGACGAGAGAGTTCTCTTTCACTACAACGGTCACGGTGTTCCATTACCTACGCAATCAGGAGAAATCTGGGTGTTCAACAAGAACTATACTCAGTACATTCCAGTTAGTTTGTATGATTTGCAATCCTGGCTCGCTGGTCCCAGTCTCTTCGTTTTTGATGTTTCCCACGCCGGGAACATTGTGCAGAATTTCCACACTTTCGTGGAGAAACACGAAAAGGAGAACCTTGAAGCCAAAAAGCGTGATCCGAACGCTGTTGTTCAAAACTACGGGGATTGCATCCTTCTGGCAGCTTGTCAGAAGAACGAGTCACTGCCTACCAATCCCGATCTTCCCGCAGATCTTTTCACCTGCTGCCTAACCACACCCATAGAAATAGCACTGCGCTACTTCATCCTCCAGAATCCTCTCCAGACGAACCTCTCAATCGACGAATTCAGAGTCCCTGGTCGTTTGCAAGACCGCAGAAGCCCTCTCGGCGAGTTGAACTGGATCTTCACCGCAATCACTGACACCATTGCATGGAACACATTGCCACGGGCATTGTTCAAGAAGCTTTTCCGACAAGATTTGATGGTGGCTGCGCTTTTCAGGAATTTTCTTCTCAGCGAGCGCATCATGCGCACTTACAAGTGTCATCCGATATCCTCTCCCGAACTCCCAGAGACTCATCATCATCCGCTTTGGAAAAGCTGGGATCTTGCTGTTGAGATGGTGCTATCTCAGCTACCAGCTCTCATTGACCATGAAGAAGGCCGCAGACAATACGAGTACCAACATTCCACCTTTTTTGCGGAGCAACTCACTGCTTTTGAAGTCTACCTCTCGTCCGGACCGACCGAGAAGAACCCGCCGGATCAACTCCCTATCGTTCTGCAAGTTCTTCTTAGTCAGGCACATCGACTGAGAGCCCTCATCCTCTTGAGTAAGTTTCTCGACTTGGGGCCGTGGGCTGTTCATCTCGCTTTGAGCATCGGTATCTTCCCGTATGTCGTCAAACTGCTACAGTCAGCAGCCCAAGAGTTGAAACCTGTCATGGTGTTCATTTGGGCGCGGATTATGGCAGTGGATTACACTGTTCAGAACGATCTGTTGAAGGACAATGGGATCCATTATTTCATCTCTATCCTCAACCCTTCGTCACCCATCCCGGTGGGTAACGCTAGTGAGCACCGAGCAATGTGTGCTTTCATTGTTTCGATATTCTGTAAGAACTATCCTCAGGGACAGAATGTGTGCCTTTCTGGCGAGCTTTTTGACTCTTGTCTGAAGCATTTGACTGATGTGGAAAATCCTTTACTCCGACAATGGTCATGTCTCTGCATCAGCATGCTATGGTCCGACTTTCCCGAGGCCAAGTGGATGGGAATCCGGTGTGCTGCACCCGCAAGACTCTGTGAGCTCAATTTCGACCCCGTTCCCGAGGTCAGGGCGGCAATGCTCCATGCAGCGACCACGTTCTTGGGCATCCCTGATTTGACAGATCAGGTTGCGCAGATTGAGGAATCTCTGGCTTTGGCTGTGCTGCCCATGGCATCAGACGGTAGTGTCTTGGTGAGAAAGGAACTCCTTGTCTTCTTCTCGACCTTTGTCAAACGCTACCAGAACAAATTCCTGGTCGCCGCGTATGAAGAGTTCCAGGACGAGAAGCAAACACTTCTCCTTCGATTAGAGCGCGACGGCTCTCGAGGCTTCACGCTGGAAGATGTGCAGAATGGAGCTACCAATTCAAGTAACAAATCACAGAAGCTGTCGCAGAATACCACGTTCGGCACAATTTGGAAACAACTTCTTATACTCTCTGTTGACCCACATCCTGATATTGCGCAAGATGCTGGCACGATTATTGACTACATCCACCTCACCCTTCTAGCATCACCCATGGCGTCGGTTACTGACAAGGTCCGAAAGGAAATTATGGAACTCACTGGCCGGTTGTCACAGAAATTACAAGTTCGCGAAAGAGCGGAATCGAGAAAGGCCGCACCTCCACCAGCTCCCCCTTCCCAGACAGCTGCTCCCAAACAGGAAGGATACTTGTCGTTGAGCATTAAAAGAACAGCCAGTGTGGCCGCTTCACTCAAGAATCTTGCTTTCGGTGGACCCTCCCAGACCGAGCAACAATCATCGCAGAGCGTCACATCGCCCACAAAGAGCCGCATGCCCGTCACCCCTCGAGGACGTGCTCCTCCCGAATGGACCCGCCCTCCGGAAGTCAACGACCAGGTCGCTCCCGCGACAGCTTATCACCAGGCTCCGATTCCTACCTCGCGCGGTTTCGAACCCCGAGACCCATCTCTGGCCCCCGTGATACCCCTTATGAGTCGATTTCTTGATTGGTCCACAGAGGTAACCCCAGGCCTTCTCCCTTTGATTTGCGAACGATACACCCGCATCTATGAACATTTTCTTACTCATCTTCAGTATTTCCGTGAGCCCCAGATGAAGCCCAACGAGCCGGACGAACCAGGTAGCGCCGACTACAACGAGCGCCTCTGGAGACGTAGCCGCAACGAGAAGATCATCACGGAAACCCAGCCCCTCAAGGGAAAAGCAGGCAGCAGTCGCTGGGATAACTCTTTAGCCCTGCTTACTAATACCAGTCAGCCCCTGAAGATGTGTTTCCATCAATTTGAGGATCACCTCGCAGTTGCGGATGATCGGGACACGATCGCGTAAGTAAGACTGGCGCAGATTAATGTCTTGATGCTAATTTTATTTGCCCCTCAGAATCTGGGACTGGCAGAGACACAAGCGTCTCAATAGGTTTTCCAACGGGAACCCCCCGGGCTCCAGGATCAACGAAATTCGTTACATCAATGAAGATGATCAAGCGTTGTTGATGACGGGATCCTCCGACGGGGTGCTCAAAGTATTCAGAAATTACGAGTCTCCAAGGGAGGTGGAGATAGTGACAGCTTTCCGCGCTTTGCCGGAACTAATTCCAAGCAATAGAAATGCTGGTTTGGTCTTCGATTGGCAGCAAGGCCAAGGCAAAGCACTGGTTGCTGGAGATGTGAAGGTGATCCGTGTGTGGAACGCGGCCACTGAAGTCTGCACCAACGTATGCTCCGCTAACCTCTGGCTTACTGGATGACTGCTGACGCAGGTGTTGACAGGACATCCCTGCACGCTCAGGCTCTTGCATTACCTCCCTTACTTCCGATCAGGTTGCAGGGAACATCTTCGTGGCTGGATTCGGCGACGGCGCAGTCCGCGTGTTTGATCAGCGTCTTAAGCCTACGACCTCGATGGTCAAGGTTTGGCGTGAGCACAAGCAATGGATCACCAATGTTCACATGCAACGAGGTGGACTGAGAGAGTTGGTGTCCGGCAGTCGGAATGGCGAGATCAGATTGTGGGACCTCCGCATGGATGACCCTATCTCGACCATCTATGCCACTAAAGATACCCTCAGGACGTTGAGTGTTCACGAGCACGCTCCGGTATTCATGGTGTATGTGTTTACTTCTCACTTCTGGATGCTCTCAAGTTCTGTAACTGACTGATTGAATGAAAGGGGCACGAATCGCCATGAGGTCAAGACATTCAACATGGATGGAACATATCTGTCCACGTTCGAACCGTACTCAAGCTTCCTCCATCACAACCGCTCTTCTCCAATTGCCAGCACTGCCTTCCACCCCCATCGTACCATTCTTGCCTGCGCTGCGCTTAATGATAACCATATCAACCTTGTGAGTTGCTAGTCATCGACTCATCCTTTCGAGCTCCGGTACACGATCCACACGACCTAGTTCCTCTTTTACCCTTTCTCTAGATACGGCGCTTTGGGTTATGACTTTTTAATGAAAGGCTCGGGTTCTTTTCAGTTCAGGTGATTTGAGACGCATATTCCTGGCGTAGGACTGTCGAGCTGCAGTAAATCATGGCGTTTGTCATTTTCATTCTTATACTTGACATCTGTTGAACTTTGTTAGCCCTTTCAGCAGTGTACAGCTGCCTCATAATGTACAGCGAACCTGCAATGTTTAAGGTCATTTACCAATTCCTGCTCGTGGGTCTGTCCTCGCCAAGAGGTCTTTGTCATTTACTGCTTCAGTCATGATCTCATGTATCTGTGGCAGTGTATAAATATGTAGTAGGAACTCGCTGGAACATTGTACCTTCCGGACCCGAGCTGAGCTCTAGCAAGTTTTAACGTATGGCAACTTCACTCTTGCGGCCAACAGTAGGCGGCGTCCATAGGAGCAGTAAAACCAAACTCTCACGTAACAGACGCGCAGACATCGCAGGACGCCTTTAATGGTTCAGCTTGTCCGGCATCCCTTCGATTGACAGTTCCAAGTCGGATCTGCGCAGCACGAGGCGCACACAGCCTTGCTGAGGCAAGTTGCACTCCTGACTCACAAGTCACGACACCTCCTCGTATAGAGGGCTGAACTGCTTGCTAGCAGATCAGCACCGCCACAACCGTGCATTTGAGTCATTTCTCCAGGTCGAATTATTTAAGTCACATAAACTTCTCCACCTCAATACAAGAGCAGAATCTACACAACCAACTCAGCGCATACAACCACACTGGCCTCCCGCGCAAAATGTCTATCCCGAAACCCCCCAACAACGCGCAGCGCCAGCGCCTGGCCGCCGAAACCCTCTCTCTAACAGAGTACGTCATCAGAGCAACAACAGGCGCCTCGCAGGTGTCCCGCGCTCACCCTCACCTCCTCCCACCCATCAAACCCATCTCCAACAATGCAGCCCGGAGACCACTGCTTAGCGTCACAAGCCAGGACAGCTTCACCGCCGCGCGGGACATCCTGCAGCGCACAGCCGGCAGAGCCAGGGTGGGTGTTCTCAATATGGCGAGCGAGCGGAATCCCGGCGGAGGGTGGTTGAACGGGGCGCTGGCGCAGGAGGAGGCGCTCTGTCTGCGGAGTACGTTGGCGGCGACGCTTGACCGAAAGTACTACCCGCTGCCGGTGTATGCGGCTGTGTGGTCGCCAGCTGTGGTGGTCTTCCGGGATGAGGTTGCGAGTGGGTGTCGGCTGTACCGGGACGAGGAGAAGTTTCTTGTTGGGGTGGTGAGTTTGGCGGCGTTGAGGAGGCCGGCGCTGACGGCTGATGGGAGGCATTTTGGTATGTCCTTTCTTCTCTTCTGCAGGGTTTTGGTATGGGGCTAACTTCGTATTCAGCCAATTCGAATGATGTGTTGGTTTTGAAGAACAAGATGCGCCAGGTCTTCCGGGTTCTTGCTGAGAATGGAATCTCGCATTGTGTGCTTGGGGCGATGGGCTGCGGCGCATTCAGGAATCCGCCGTATGAGGTTGCCAGGATTTACAAGGAGGTTTTGCAGGAGACGGAGTGGGATGGAGTGTTTGAGGAGATTGTCTTTGCGGTGCTGGATACGAAGGGGGAATCCAACTATACAATATTCAAGAATGTCCTGCTGTCTCAGGGTGGTAGATGAGCAGGAACCTATTTATATAACTCTTTTGTCATGACGAACAATTCTGGATCAGCCAGACCGATCCTGTAGTCAAAAGAAGGGAACTGGCTGGCTGTCACGACCTTCCAGGGACAGTAAACTTCCAATCCTCCGGAAACCTTCCATACTGAATATCTTCACGATCACGGAACATATTCTCATACTGCTCCATATGGGTCTCCGGTCGCTCCGCCTGACGGTAATACTTGTGCGCCAACCTCTGCATGGCCGGATCATTCCACATCGTCTCCATCCACTTCACCACATCAGCGCTGGCGCCCTCGAGAGGGAGATTGAATGTGCGGAAGCGCTGTTTTCTATACTTTAGCCACTGGTTCAAGTCCTCAAGGATAAGCATAGTGAAAAAAAACAAGTTGAAACATACCCAGAGCACCGGCCAGAAGAACGCATCCGCAATACTAAACCCCCCAAACAGGAACCCCTCATCTTTCTCGCCCAGCTCAGCCAGCCGTGACTTTGCTGCCTGTCGCGCATTATCCCAGATCGTAAATAGACGCTGGATATCTTTCTTCGCAGCATCAGGCACGGGAATATTGCCCGTATACCGCACTACGAAGTTCGTGGGGCATGCGTTTCGCAGCGCCGTGAAACCAGAGTGCATTTCGGCCGCAGCACTGCGCGCCATGGCTCTGAGGAGGCGGTCCCGCGGCCACAGGGTGAGATGGGGGTTTGACTCTGCGAGAAACTCGCAGATGGCGAGTGAGTCATTGATGCGCAGTGTTGAGTTCAAAGAACGGCATTCGAGCACGGGGACGAGTCCTGAGGGGGAGAATTTGCGGACCTGGTTCGGTTAGTGTTTGAATGTTTGAAGGACCGGGACTACGGACATCGTCAAGTTTGATTTGTTGCTCGGTATGTGGAATTTGGAAATACTCCAAGACTATTTCGACGCGAGCAGTCCAGCCTGGAATGATAAGCTTAGCAATTGGCTGTAGAAGCGGAGACGCATGAGGGCGTACTCGAATAGCGGGTGAAGAGCCCAATAAGGTGATAGTCGGCTTGTTCTTGATTTGCGGCCATTGCTTGACTTTCTGCTTCTGATCTACTTAGAATGATGTGTAGGTCAGAAAAGCTGAGCTGGGGAGAGGAAAATGACAAGACGATTTATCAGCAGTGGTGGGGTAACTCACTCGAGAGCAGATGCCCTTCCAGCGACCCACTGAACCTTAAATACGATTGATTTAGCAGATAATGCAGATTCCTGTCGGAATTTAAAGTATCGTAGTACCTAGGTTAAATCCTTTTGCATAGAGTAGCATTGAGAGCTAATAATCAATGCTGTGCTTTGCTCTGTTCGCCAGTGATTTGCAACAACCATCTGAATTGAATATATAGAACAATTCTCATAATAAAAGCTTACTGCACCAATGATATTTACATCGACATATACAGCGCAGCATGGAGTATTGTCGAGGGACTATAAAATCAAATGCATATGCTCTTCTCAAGCGGAATCTGATCTTTTCATAATTACTGCAGAATGTCAAAACCTTCTTAAATTAGGGCTGAAGGATTGCCAGGGTTCATGGTTGGCACGTGATCTACTCCAACGTCAAGTACTGATAGATCCCAATGACCACAACTATTGAGCATAATCTTTGAAAGTCCATGTGGTTTCATTGTCAGTAGAAGGGTAATTTTGTGAGATTAGCCTGAGTTCACTTTGGTAGGATTATAACTGATCTCTGGCAGCATCACTGAACCCTTGACAACAGATCACATCATCTTGAGCAGAACAACTGACGATGAGTATGCATCAGCGTTCAAAATTATGTGAGGTACAGCCACACAATCATCTGACCCTCAGTGATGCGTAAGACCTACAATGACTTGCCCTATAGTACTAATGCCATTCACCATAATTGGAGTGGTCGCAACCTCTTTCTGCTGTAAAGTGTATAATGGCTGTACCTCCTACCCAGAATAGATCTCTGCAATATATTCCGAAAATGGGAGGCACTCTTGGTGACACTTTCGTCAATACAATCTCGAGAATCCCCTTCATATGACTTGCAAGACCGCCTCTACCATGTTTGCTTTTGCACTTCGAGTGTATTAAGAAAAATGCCGCCGCGGACAATGAAGATAGATGTCGGCAATTTTTCCTCCACTCGATCGTTTCAGCTCCCCATCAGAAACACCACCCACGCTCGGACCCACCTATCCTGATTCTGCGCATGAGGCGGGAAGTCAACCTATTTATACCACAGCTGGCAGACTATCCAACTTCTCTGCGGCGCATCACGATACAGTGAAAAGCGTGTTCACCCGAACAAATGACGAGGAAGCCGTGAACATAGCTCTTGTATATTTCCTCACCATGTTGAGTTATTACTGCAAGAAAGCGAGGAGGCTGCGTTGAGATCCGGATAGACAAAATGTGACCGTCACGATGGGAAATGCTAGGATTGTAGCAGAAAGACGGTGGAAAGCCTGACACAAACGGGAATCGAGATGGTAACATGGATCGGCCAAGCGATCCGATATAGAAAAGAGTGTCTCCGTAAGTGCTGGCGCAAGCAGTCGTGAGATTAGAACTCTCAGTTTCTAATAAGGGGTTAGGTACATCTTGATAAGCTCGCATCCACAAGTGGCCTTCGTTATATTCGCTAAGCCTGACAAAGGTTAAAAGGATTACCTAGATGAGAATGGCCCTGGGCCAATGACTCTTGAGGAGAGTGGCTTTCTGACATTGCATTGCTTTGGTCCCTTCGACATCTTCGATGCGAAGCACATCCACGTATTGGGAAACCAGGTACTCTGCCTTACCATAGATGCCAGCATGAGATACAGTAACGAAGCATGAGAGACGAATGGAGGCTCTTCTTGTAGCAGATATTGAAGAGATCATTGGACTCATCATCAACAGATGATCGCAGAGAGTATGGATATAGAAATTTAATAGCACTAGGCTAAAAAGATAAGTTTCTTTCCCCAGATCCAGATTAATCCAACTCATCAGGCTATAAGACTCGTAAGCATACACTAGGCCCAGTCCGTTCCCAAAATTCAAGGTTTGTCGGCGGCTTAGAAACCTTAATGTCGATTTAACTTCATAGAGTCCAGAGATCGGAGATAATGTCGAATTGTGTCGGGTTTACCTCTATATCCGGTTGTGCATTTAGACGCGCCTGGGTACGGAGGCCAATAAACGTCACCAGGAAAACCTAATCTACATATCTCTTAGACAGCTTTCGGGATTGTCCTGCAATGCAGGAATCGCAGTTTTCCAGGGGTTTCGCATGCGTATTATTAGCTATCCCACCAGTAATCCACTTTCTACCCTGCCCAAACATCCAGCTTGAAGCTATTCAGATCGTACAATCTGATATACAATGCTGGAAAGTACGTTAGTTTCTTAGCTTTCAACGCGGCTTTGCTGGCGGAATAAAGTGCGTAAGACGGGGGATGATCAAGAGCTACGAGGCTGCTGACGTTGACGATCGTCCCTGATTGCTATCTGCGCATTAACGGTAGAAGCCCTCTTATGACCCGAACTGGGCGCCATCGAAATTCTATCAAAGATGGCAACTCTTGGCGGGGAGATTCAGATAAACGGGTTGCGGATACTATGTGTTCCGTCTCCCGAAACGGGAGATGAAACGTTCCTTCCCCGAGAAGGGAACGCTGGCCTTCTGTACCACATTTTCCGAAAACCTGGTACGATTGTTTCTGCCGAGCATTTCCTACAAAGCCGGGTACACAATCGTTTCCCGACAAGCGGTCGACGGTCTAATATACTTATGTCCACGGCGGCATCACATCAATGAGCATTATATTCCACGGCCCATGAGGTGTATACTAAACTCTACGTACGGTCAAATACAATATACTGCTATACCTAACTATGATGACCTTATGATCAGTTGCATATAACTTTTAGTACTCTTCTATAGTGGTACTGATCATGCTAAGTAAATGCATAACACCGGAATTTAGTTTTGCTTTTGCTCCAAGGAAACAAATTCCATTAGTGCCAAAGTTAGATTCTACTTAACTTTAAGCTTTCCTCTCTTGAATCTTGTTGATTGTACCGAAGCACTAGCCTGAACTATCACTTGTCAGACTTCATTGCTCCTCGAGCGGAGATAACGTCTATCTCCCCTACTCCTTTCGAGGATGAAGAAACGAGTCACGTAGACTAGCGTATAAAGAGTGACACCACGTACGGTCGTTGAACTTTCATAAAAAATTTGAAAACAGGAGTCCAATAAGCAGTAAGAATGGGACGGCACGAATCCAGCAAATTTGCCATTGATGAAATCCCTGACCTCTCTGGCTACGTTATTATTGTGACTGGAGGTAGGATTGTCATCTTCCAGTGCCCAGACGAACAGTCGTGATGTTAATAAGTTTGCTCAGGGAACCAGGGGGTTGGTTACGCCACTACTCTACACTTGGCAAAACGACATGCAAGAGTTTATCTCGCAGCACGATCAAAGACAAGAGCCATGCAGGCAATTGAGGAAATGAAAAGGGTAGACTCGAGTATTGATGTGCGCTTCTTGCTGCTGGATCTTCAAAGCATGGCAAGCGTGAAGGAAGCTGCTGAGCAATTTATGCGTGAGGAGACGCAACTGGACATCCTTATCCACAATGCCGGGGTAGGTGCGCAGTGGAATAGATGGCACTTCTCTAGCTCTGACATATCTGTAGATTATGGCTGTTCCGTATCAAGTGACCGATGATGGTTACGAGTCTCAGATACAAACGAATTATCTTTCACCCTATGCGTTTACACGAGCAATCCTGCCTGCTCTTGAGCGTGCAGCCGCTGCGCACTATGGAAATCCGAACCGAGTTAGGGTCGTTAACGTCTCAAGCTCCGGGCATAACTTTGCGCCGTCTATTGGGATCGACTTTGAGGACATCAATATGAGTTCCCACACAGGGGAATTCGCTCCATGGTATCAACTCGCAGAATCCTCCTGGGACCCACACTGCTGATGGTATCAAATGCTAACTATATAATTAAGGCGCCGATACGGTCAGTCTAAGCTTGCCATGATCCACAATGCTTATTCCCTTAACGAAAGATATAAAATTCGAGGTACCTATTGCCCCCTCCTCCCCTTCCCTTTTAAATTAATCGCTAATTAGTATTCTGCTAACAATAACTGCCTACTCTCTCAACCCTGGCAACATCAAAACCAATTTACAGCAAAATGTTGCGTCTATCTCCGGTACAATTATCCGAGGACTGACCTTCATCTCCCAGTTCAGTCTTCTCTCCACCGACGATGGCAGCAGGGCTTCTCTCTTCTGTGCCACAAGCCCAAATGCTCCGCAGTCTGCAGGCAAATATCACGAACCCTTCGGGAAAGTTAGCAAGAAGAAGTTTGATCATAAGCAGGCCGAGAAACTCTGGGATTGGACTGAGTCAGAGCTGGCACGTTTCAACATATTCTAATATTCATCCATACGATAATCTCCACTCTCTTGCCCTCAATCCAGCTATAATGGCAACTATGGTTTTCCTCGATGTGCTTCACAAATTCAAACCACGCTTCTCAAACATTTAATGTCATCTATTTCCTTGTAAATACAGTAGTGCTTAGTCCTCTCTACATGCACAACCCATTTTCTAGCTGGTTTTAAACTTCTGATACCTTGCCACCAAATCAAACTATTTTTTTTTCAAAAAAAAAAAAAAAAAGGGGGGGGGGGGGGGGGTGTGGAGGGGAAGACCTAGTCCACGAAAGAGTGAAAAGTAAATACCGCTTTTTTACACATGATTTATAAATTTTCATTAAGACTTCTTTTTTAGGCCTAGTTATACATTCAAACTTTCGAAAAATGCGTTTATGATCGCAGAGAGTATTAATGTAGAAATTTAATACCACTAGGCTAAAAAGACGCCCGGACGATGTACTGGTCAGTCTAAAGCTACCTGTCCATAATTATAGTGGCATGATATCCAGCAATAACGCTTCGTTTTATTTCTCACCGTAGGCGCCTTAGCAACTTGATAGCAGACCTTAATCTCCTGCGCCTTAATTGATAAACAAGGCTCTTTGGGCAGTATACAAGTGGCGGAGACCACCATAGGTCCTTGGCCATATGAATCAAAACTTTCGAGTTAATTGGTCGATGAATGACGGCCTGGATAAAGCTCAGTTCATTTAAACCAACTTGTAGTAAATAAGCCTATCTATAATGTGCCAAGTAATTATCGACATATCTTCCAGTTCTGAGACGTAGGCTCTTGTATACTAATCTTTGGTTTATATCGACATGTGTGAGAAAGCGGTAACACTTAGTCAAAGACACTCCTTTTTCAATGGTCTTCTATAAAGATAATCACTACTGTGAGCCCTGAAACTGGGCCATGATGACTACGGGATTGAATTCCACCTTCGAAATTGTTACCGCCAGTAGGTTTAGGTTCCTGTCTAATATATATTCTTTGACTGATGGTCGTTTGACATTTTGCTAAGAAACAGGCAGTTTCCCAGCTGACAATTTTCTGCGTAATGCGTAAAGGCAGAAATAGAAGCATTCTATCGCCATTCTATACAAGTAGTAACTAGTAACTATCCGTACACAGGAATGGATTGTTGTGATCATAAGGTTTAGACTGGGAACGGTGGGCGGCCCGGTTCCCGGAAGCCCTCATTTTGAAACCAATCATATTCAAGGATAACACTAACCTGGACGTTGCGGCGTTGCCAAGGAATCACCACAGTCATACTCCACATGGATCCAACGTCTTCAGGTGATATCTTTCAGCGGGCTTCTTGCACTATTCTGCGCAGTGGTATAGGATCGTCCTGGGAAAGGCCTTAGATTGATTCAAGTTTGATTTCTGCCTCTTTTGCGAAGACTTAATTATTGGTTTTCTCCTGAACTCATATTGATACTGTAGCGTGCATGCTAGGATTGTCACAAGTACAGTACAAGGAAGCCTGATCCCAAGTGTCATTAAACTATTCATGTACTACACTTAGACAACTTTATTTGTAGATCCATTCGTTGGTGCTTGGTGAAAAATGAGGAATCTGGCACAGTTGCAAGTATCATTGTTGTCGAAGCATGCTATATTTCTGTAGATAATTTGTTGTCTAACGTAAAGGACAGAAACGCAAAAGGAATTGAGTATAGTCAGGACTCATTCCAGTGATCCTATGTGAGAAGGGTAAAAGTGATTATACGCAAATATATGTAGAATAGCTGGAAGGCTAATGCTCAGGTGAGTCGCACCGAGGTTGAATAATCAAATTTATCCCAGAAACCTGCGTCATCAGTCCTTGAGTGTGCAAGTACCTGAGATAGACATGAACACTGTATTGATTATTCTCAGCGAGTAGATATTCATCTTACGATGATAGAGCCATTCCATCCATGCCTTAATGTTTGGTCGTTTCTTCGTGGAACTCAGATCAGCTGGCCTTGCAAAGTAAAACGTGCTGCATTTCGATTACTCATTTGTAAAATTTAACGGTAAACCAAGCAAGCAAACACGATTTTTGAGTATGTTCGTTGCCAGGTAATATTTTGACCTAAGCCCTAAATGATCGCATCAGATGGGAGGGCAGCAACAAAGGCAACCACAGCCCATGCACGATAAAATCTTCCACTCTGCCTCCTGCTTGTGTTCTCCTCCTCTCCTCCTCTCCTCCTCGTGACCTCTTCATGCTTCGAGTCCTCACTTTGCCTCAACAAGCCTCTCCTTTTTACATTTTCTTCCTCTGCTCCCAGAATCGTGGCTCGAAAACTCTTGTGTCGGTCTTTCCGCGTAAGTATCCGGACTGTTCCTATGCAAAACGTCCTTAGCATCTGACGGAGGACTTTGCAGCGGCTTTCCTAGAGAATTCGGTCTTCACTCTTTCATTTTTTTCATGGTGCAGCTTGCCAGCGTAGTTGGTATGTACGATATCCAGATTAGACAGGGTACGCTGAGAGCAGAAGGCCCATCATAAGGGTCTGGTGTCAGTCATAAGCACAAGGTGAGCAGCTCCGTCTCTAGTTCCCCACATGCATGGCTGATGCGTCGATAGTCCGGCTCTCATAGAGGGTTTGGTTTTCCTGAATTTTCACCTTGGTGAGTTTAACTGACGAAAGCTTTGGAAATTCTACTGACGAACATTTAGCTGTCTCTCTTAGAGGGTTCAGCTTTCTCTACTTTTTCCTTTGTATGTTGCCCTGATTGATGCATCTTGGTTGCTGACTGACGTTTTCTAGTGCCGTCTCTCTTAGAGGGTTCGGTTTTTCCCGGTTTCTCGAATCGTATTCCTACTGGACTCAGCGCATGAAGGCCCCTGGTCTGGAAGTCCTCAATTTCCATGTCTTCGTTGGCGGCTTCTCCCTCATCTTGTCGCGGTGCTGCAGACAACCCTTGCAGTTCTTCCACAGTACGTGCGTCGTACCAAGTCAGAGTGTGACGCTTCAGAGTGACGTCCCGCAGCCGATCCAAGAGAAGCTTGTTCTGCTTGCCGCTGGATTTAACAATCTCCTTCATCGCTTCAGAATTCCAGGTCCTCGAGTTTCCAATAATGATCAGAAATTTTTGCGCCCGGCTGAGGGCGACATTCAGTCGGTTTCTGTTTCCGACAAATCCAATGCTCAAGACATCCTCAGACGGTTTCGTCATCAGGAAGACCACAACGGGAGACTCGGTTCCTTGGGCCGCATCGACAGTCACATTCTCATTGAAGCCAATGTTGTGCTTTCCAAGAACTTCGTCCATCAGTGCCCTCTGGTCCCTATATGGACTGATGATCATGACGTTCTTGGGCTCAATCTTGTCTCCTTGAGGCGTCTTGAACTGGTACAGCTGAGACAAAAGATGGCGCAGAACTCCCACCTGTGGCCGGTTATACGATGACAGGCTGTTCTGATGGCGATCAGCATGACCTTCTGTACTTATGAACAGACAACGAAGACCTGCGACACCGAATCCTCGAAAGTAGTGCCGTGACGAGGTGAACGCATCCCATGCATTGCCTACACGGTCCGGAACGTCGTTGGAGCGTCGACTTGCAAAGCGACACCATACACATTCTGGTTCCACAAATCGAGAATTGCGCTGTGATTCCGATAGTTCGTATTGAGCATCGTGCATGGATATCCTGCCTTACGAAGTCGTGTCATCAGGGACCGTTTGAGATATTTCGCTCCGTTGCAGTCATTTTCCGAAATGACTGTTGGCGGCACCTGCTCGGGATCTCCGATCAGAACCACCTCTTTAACCGACGACATCGTCAAGGCGATACAGTGTTCACCCTCGAGGCACTGCCCGGCCTCGTCGCTGATCACATAATCGGGGTTAAAGTCCGATTCGCGAAGCAGTTTCTGGGAAGCGTTGCTCAAAGTAGTAGCCACGACTTTGCAATTCGCGAGGACGCTCAAGGCGCAGGACTCATAGGAGTCGTGTAACTTCTCTGACCGATCTTTGCTCAGATGGCACTCCTTATCCTTCCTGACCATATCAAGGAAGTCCCCAGAGTCACTCGTCGACTCTGCGTGGTCCTCGGCGAAGCGCTGGACGTCATGGTGAATCTGCACTGGCTCGAGTATCTGGCTTGCCGAGCTTCCTTTTTTTTTTGACGCACCCAGTCCGACTTGATTGGAGTTTGCGCTGCCAATTCTGACTCGTGGAAGCTGATAGGACGGTGTTCGGGAGCGAATAAACTGGCCGCACCACTGCCGAAGCCGAGGATGTTTATTAAAAGCCGTAACAACAGCCTCCGCGAGATTGACGATACCCTTGTTTGATCCAGCGACAAGCAGAACTTTCAGCTCCAGTGCCATAAGCAAGAGGATGATGACCATAGCAGTCCTTGTTTTTCCTGTTCCAGGTGGCCCTTGTACGAGGTTGATACCGCAGGTGATCTCAAAGGTTGACTTTAAGAATGCCCGTCGCTGAGCCTCATCCGGGGKGAAATTTTCCCGGATATAGGAAACTCTCTCGGCTTGCTGCTGTGGAAGGACCTTTGACATCTCGCGGGCGTCGAGAAGAAAATAGAAATCGCTGATAGGGTCCAATTCGACTCCCTGGGCGAGTACTGCCCTTTTCAGCGAAAATCCCGTCCCTTCTTTGCCTTCCAGCTCTCCCCAGGATCTGCATAACCTCACGTCCCCAAGCGCCTTGATCTGGTCATCAATTGGCATGGTGTTTGGCTTGACGAGCGTGACAATCTCAACTTCACGATGGTCGGAAATGTCGCCCTTCACGAGAAGAACAAGATCACCAGAGCTGTGTGTCTCAAGAACAACCCCTTTCTGGTTAAGATTGGGTTTGACGTACGTCTGGCCCTTCTCAGCTACCCCGAATTGAACCTCAGTCATCTCAGCCAGCCGAGGCACCTTCACCGCCGTTTCGCCCTCTACTGCTTGGAGCTTGATATGGACAAAGGAACTGTCTCTCAATGACTCTGTTTGCGCTGGAGCGTACCATGCTCGGTGACGGCGAGATGGATTAAAGACGTTGGCGACCAACGGATACTGAGTATCTTTCTCGAACCTGGACGCCTCGACCAACCTGCACTGTCGGTCATAGCCATCGATGAAGAATGCATCATGAGGAACCAACTGAGTACATTGACTCTTTGAAGGGTCCTCCTCTTTAGTGAAGAGCCATGGCATTGGTGGACTGCGGCCCTCTCCGTTTTTAGGAAGATTCTGACGATACCACCAGGATGCTTTTCCAGTTGCGAGGCCACCCAGCACTGTCTACCATTGGATTGTGTCTGGCAAAGTTTTGAATTTCGGGTCAAATTCCTGGAAAATGAAGACGCCTTCTGCTTGTTCTGCCAAGCTCTCGAGGTGGAGCCAGTCAAGGTCATCGTTGCGATACTGTGCTCCCTCCGTTCTCACAGCTATGGGATCGATGCGGCAGGAGATGTTGAAGTAATACACCCGAGGCCAATTCTTCGAAGCATCCGGGCCATTGCTGCCTTAGTTGTCGGATCTCCTCCTCCCTTTTGTCATCGCGTGTTGCACCCTCGATTCCCGCATTCAGAGAGCAGTTTCGAAGCGGGATAGCTAAACGCCATCTGTTTTCTCGTGTTGTCGCGCGAAGGACAATTCGAGGTTGCTGAGTCGAGTATGGGACTTTCGCATCGAGCCAACTCTTGGCGCTAGCAAAGCGGCAAATTCGCCATTTTCAACAAGCCTTATAAAGCGTAGAGGGATAGTCTCTGCCTTGTGGCTCCTTGAACCAGCTCTCGTTGTAAATCGAGGTGTTCGCCATTATTGCGGCTTGATGAAAATCTACCAGTGGTATTCAAAGTTAGAACGCCCGGCGTTGGATGATGGGATTGACATAAAAGCTTACCGAGGAGGATATGACTAAAGTTGGGATGTCGATCGATTTGAGAGTTTCGAGTATTAACGGCTCACTAATCAAAGTGAGCTACACGTCTTACAGGACACGCCTGAGTAGCTGCTTACCCCGTGGGGAGCATCGAGCTTGGATCCCGCTTCCTGAAGTCGTTTCATGAGGCTCCGGGCCTGGGGAAGGAGGCTGCCAGACTCTGCGAGAAATCGGATCAGCACGAGACCTCTGTTGCTGTTCCTTCGTGAGAATTCTGATGCTCAGAACGAACAAGTACTGGTGGCACCTTCTTACCTGTACTGTGCCTGATGGCATTCTGTTCCGGAGATCCGGGAAGGGCAACTCCGTTTGCCTAGGGACAATTCGGGGACGTATTCCGGGGGACGTCCATATGAGCCCGACTGAGCAATGATGCCAAGCATGCAAAAGAAGAGAATAAGACCTCTGCAGTCTATTGTTTGACTTTATCCATATCAAGTATGCCAAGGCAGTTGAAAGAGAAGGCCAGATATTGCTGAGAGAAAGCTGACCGACTTTGAGAGAATTGAGGCCGGCTTTATAGAGGCCATGGCTCGGCTAAGGAGGAGCTAAGAAGGAAGATTGTGAAGATGAAGAGACCTCAGTATCATAATCAAGTGAATACAGCATCATTCCAACCTTGAATAGCAGGATATGTCACTGGGAAGAGATTGGAATCGTTAATACCAATTGCTGTAGAGATTCACTGTGAAGGTTACCAATCTAATGAATAGTGAAGACATAGAATGAAGAAATCATAAGAGAAAGAGAGAGTTGGACCACAGAAGAAGGTCATGCAAGTGAGATGATAAGTGAGTTCTTGACTTGTCCTTTATTCATAGAGAAATATATCTTTTATTTTATATGGCTTTGAGCCTGGTCCTTAGATACATGGAGGACTGACATGGGTGTTGCACCGTGATGCATATAATATGTAGCTATTGATTAGGGCCCCTGCGCTCCTCTGTTCCCTAATTAGGAAGGTATGAAGCTATTCAGAGCAGCATCTACAACATGTCTCAACAAGCTGCTGACGTTGACCCGGATAACCCAATATCAATCAGCGTCGTATCTTTGCAATATCAGAAGTGTCTTCCGAGAGTGTACTTTCCGATTCCTCGAGAGTAAGAGGATTTTAGTCATATATCGTACCTCGAAGTGGTTTCTGAGTGTTTCACAAGCTCAGCCATACCAGGCTTTTGCAACAAAGTTCGCCCTCGCCCCATCTGACGAGTACGTGAACTGCCGTCACTCAAGAATGAATGATTTGTTCAATGTCCCGTATCTAATTGTTCGACGATCACAGCTCATTTGGCACGTTTTCTTGACTGCCGTCCGTTTCACCTACTGACCAAGGAGAGCCTCATCCTAGAGGCTCCATTGACAACCGCTTCGAGGAAGGTAGCTGGAAGCAGACCGTCGCTGAATGCATCTCGAGCGCACGTTCAATACAAGATGTCGTCACATCTGCTTTTTATTGTTCAAAAGGTCTTCATGTTCCATTCAGCATCCGAGGGGCCTATGCGGGCCTAAGACAAGTATGTCCCAGCCGAGACGGTCCTCGTTCAGGTCTTCACACATCTCATCAATCAGCTGCTCGTCATTCCAAGAGCTCAGCTATTGTGCTAACAATCCATAGCTCACAGATTTCATCCAAGAGGCCATTAGAAACAACGATTCGCGATGCCCAGTCTCAGTGATCAGGGATTGGAACATTCTCCAGCACATCAGTAGACATATCCACTGTTACACTCCTCATATTCTTCCTTGCAGTGATTACCAGCGAAAAGTCTGGCTATAAACAGTAGTTCTACCCCAATGGTACTACGCATCTGGTGCATTGATTCTTATATTTGCTTCAGATCGCATTGCACTCCATTTTGGCCACTGGCCCCTAAGTTCTAGCGGTATATAGCATCGAAGACATGACCGGACTTTATGCTCATTCTGGCTTCTCGCCGTTATTTTTTTTGAAGATATCAAGCCATATATGATTGAAAGGCCGTACAACAGCTACTTCGCAGGAAGAGCTACCGAGAGGGCTTCTTGATATACGCTTTGTTCCATAAAATGCTCCAGTATAGGATGACATTGACAGTGAATTGAAGGTCCATCTGATCTCTGAGCTATTGTTCCCAGCTGTGAATGTAGCAGCTCACTGTGCAGGGCTTAACCCAGTATTTGCCCTAGGGGTGGAAAGTGCTTTTCTTCTCCCTGCACTCGCACACATAACTAATTTTCTTCCTAACACAGTCCCCTCATCTTCCATCAAAAACTCTCCATATCATCTTTGCTATTACTTCTCCAACCTCATTCTTCATCAACCTTGACTTCTTCATCTAGATTCGCTTTTCTCATAACGCTTCTTATCATCTGGATCCTTTCTGCGAGCCTAGTCCCTTAGAATACAATCTTTTCAGCGGTTTCAAAATGAGCTCGACTGCTCTGACTTACCTTCCTCGCCTTGATACAACATACGAGATGATCCCTTTCATTAACACACTATGTGTTAGTTTTTGGAGTACTCTACGGAGTTCGGAAAAGGACAGTCTCTATCCTGCATTATCTAGGTATTCTGCAATTTCTGATCTTGATGTTTCTCCAGATGCAGACATCCAGCACGCGTAGAGCGTCTGGTCGCTTCATCCCGCTCCAGTGCTTTTAGAGCAGCTGATTTGCCCCTCCCTTGTCTCGGTCTTCCTACGCTTTTCAGTTCTCTTACAGATACTGGTTTCTCCAAGTTGCGCCATCTCTCTTAGAGGGTTTGGTTTCGTTGTGCCAGCGCTCGTAGAGGGTCTGGTTTTCTCTTTCGCCAGCTCTCATAGAGGGTCTGGCTTTTGTTGYGCCATCTCTCTTAGAGGGTTTGGTTTCGTTGTGCCAGCGCTCGTAGAGGGTCTGGTTTTCGTTGCGCCATCTCTCTTAGAGTATTGGTTTGGTTCCCTCCTACGAGCCAGCATTTTTCGAGTGACTTGTTTTCTTGTTTGACCTTTGCCAATATCTGTGCCAGCTCTTTCAGAGTGTCTGATTTTCTTTGACCACTTTTTCATTTGCGTCTGTTTTGAAATCCTGTTACTGTCTAGAGCCTCATTCTCGCCATGAAAGAGTTCCTTTTATGCGCGGAGCGGTCTGCTTTCTTAATAGAACCAGACCTCCCATCAGCGTCAAGTTAAATTGATACATGTATCTCCTCCAGTGTTTTAGAGTAATCTAATCTCATCAAGTACAATCAATTTACTGACAAGATAGAGGACAGAAATTTTCCATGAAATTCAACACTCTTAGGTTGAATCGCAAGAACAAGTAGCCGGCTGACTTGACGTTAATAGAGCGTGGAGAGCGGATCTGTTCGAAGCTTTCATGAAAATACCGCACAAATCGCCACGAGAATTGACTGCACAGCTGCAGATAGGGATGCAGAACAATGTATCCAAGTGATATTGCTACCCGCTGACAGGCGTCTCCAGCATGTCAGGAAGTTAATATATCCACAAATATTGCAATGTTCCGAATTCCTCCAAAAATTTTATAGTCTCTCGAGAGACCCGTAACCATATCGATCTTGTTACCAGCGGTGCCGCATCAGAGGCGGTTGAGTGTCTTCACAGCGCTGTAGGTCTCGAGATTTAGATGGAAAGCAAGCAAATCTACTAAGCAATGAACAAAGTGTTAGACACAGTTTCAGCAAAAGCAGATAAGTATGATGGGGGAGCTGCAAAATGTCTGATACTTAGAAGGCTATTTTTTGATTGTGAACAAAAGGATCAGCTTGTGGCTTTCTGATGAAATTTGAAGACTAAGGATAGACGTTCTCCTAAATAGAAGTAGAAAATAATTTCCCGCTCCCAGGATGGATGGAAGATGACTGGATGGGAAGCTGGAAGACTTCACGGAGGAGGAAGGTGAGGTAAGAAACGACCGGTCATCAACTGAACGGAGTAGGCCACTGAAACTATACATTTTATGGCTATTGTGACTCGATCTTGGGAGATACCAAACGGAGGAGACAACTACAGAACACCACTGCATAAAGCATTAATGCGTTGATCCGAGATATTTGAATGCTTTTCCATGGAAATCAGCCCTAGGCTCCTACAACGGAGCGGCACCAAGTTTTACCAACTGTAGAAGCGAAGTTATAGTTCCCAGGTTGTGTAGAGCTATGAAAAGTTGCAAGGTAACCTAGATTTCCTGACTACACTGCAAACCCCCAAAGCTATCCACCGAACCACCTGCCTTGTAAAACCTCCATCCTCTTTCTCTCCCTTTCCATCACCATATAGAACCCCATCCT